AATCTAGCATCAGCTATTCCATCAGTTTCGTATGATAAATCATATGATGAATCAAAAAAACATACAATATCGCTTAATTCCGATGTCACCTGATAGGTGACTTAGTAGAAGGAAGCTCAAAGATGAGATCTGAATTGCTTGCAAATACATAATTCCGACGCTCTGTTAATATGTGAATGATGAGCAAAAAATGTTTTCAATACAAAAATGATTTGGATATCTCATTATCACATGGAAAATTTCGTATTTTTGGAAACACGTTTGCATTCAGTTCGGTTCCATTCAGCATCTACAGTGACAGCAACATGATTGAGAGCAATAATGGTATGTATGATCACATAGGCGTGCGTCTTAAGCAACTGCTGATTTTGGTGAAGTTGTGTTATGTTTCTGTTCTTCCAACTGCTTTCCGACAAGTTCAAACATAATCTTGACGGTTGCATCCAAATCATATTCAGGCGCCCATCCCCAGTCCTTCTTCGCATTCGAATCATCGAATTTATCTGGCCAAGATTCGGCTGCAAATGATAAAACAAATGCTTGCAAATGACAAATGGCTCTTTTCTAACAGCTGAACTTTTTGTTCGAAACCAGATCTGACACTCCATCAGAATTCATTTTTATCAGTTGGAAGTTCAGTGTTGCATTGTTTTTCAAATGACTGATATTGATGGTAAAGTGAATCGATCCGATGTCTTGATTGATCGACTTGATCGTGGTGGTCTATAGCTTTCGTTGGGACTTCAATGGTGCAAAATTTGCGATTCATCGTTATTTTTGCATTCGAAAACGAGCATTCAGAAGAAGCGGATAGTCGATATTTTTTTCAGATTTATGTTATCGTCCATCCGCTACTACGGAATGCAAATGGTTGTTTGCAGTCAAAAAAAAAACAACTGAATCGTTGAGTCGCGACTTGTACTGAATTTGAATTGTGTTAATGAAATATTAGAGAAACCAACCGATTTTCTGCCTGATTGGGCAAATTTCGTATTCAATTTCAAAGTTCGGCATAACTTTGCGAATAGCTGCCGTCAGCTCTTCAGGAGTCAACGAGAAGCCAGTGACGTTGTATGTTCGTTGCTTTAACTTCTCTTCTGGTGTTGAGAGGTACTGAAATAGAGATGATGTATGCTAATGATGATGCTATTGGTAGTTTTCTTGATGGGAACTACGGTGGTATTGATGCCTTCATCTCGTTGCACTTATCACTATCACATTCAGTGATCAAACTACTTNAATATTCACATTCTTCGATGCAATATTAGTTTTCGACTTTTGCGTTCTCATTTTTCAAGCACCAATCTGTTGTAACAAACTAATAGTGATCATTTGAAATAATGCATCATTGGAGCGAAAGAAAAACGCACAAAGACTGTTGAACCAGTGCAATCCGTATCGTACATCATCGGCAGACGTGCATCTGGTTTCAAATAGCATTTATGCTTGCCGTACCTCAATGCATCATAAAATGCTTGCACTGCATAGTCTGAAAACAGTTCAAATGTTCACAAACACATATATGGGCGAAAAGGAGCAATCTGATTGAATGGCCTAGTGCACTGATAGAGCATATTTTGTCGAGGAAAGTTCCTCTGAAAATCATCTTCATTAGGAATGTGATCGAACCAGTTGTTCCACCACCAGGCATGGTAGCGCTGATAATTCCTGGATACCGAAGGCATCTGAAATCGAGACCGAATCTATCGTTGTAATATTCGCCGAGCAATTCAGCATAAACCTGAAAACTCGAAACTAGATTTACATTTTAAAAGAATCGAATCATTGAATCGGTTGCCCCAACGAGAAGGATTCTCTTCGGAAGCGTGACAAATTTTTGATCTGATATTTCGTCATTGTCATGCTACTTCTATGAATTTAACTCTAAAGAAGAGTCGGCGAAGAGCCACTTCAATGAAACTGTATCGCATTTGGCCTCTACAATGATTCAATATTCAACCTTTGTGACACCATAGATAGTTCGGGGTCGTTGAACGCAGATATCTGGCGTTAACTTGAGCGGTGACGTTGGACCGAAGGCACCGATTGTGCTTGGAATGAACACTTGCAGTTTGTACTTTCTAAAGTGATCATTACATCGATGCGCACAAATAACTTTAACTCAAATCTCTAATCGATAACCATTAGAGGGAACGAAAAGGAGGATATGATTAGATTAAATTGATTTTGCCATTTGATCATTCACATGTATTGTCCGTTATGTTTTGTTCGTTGAATTTATGTGTAACATTATAGAATTGTTCTCAGCTTCTTCACAAACCCACATGCTTCGCGTCAGTAATTCTTAAGCAGTAACAGCCGCCATTTCAAAACAAACCTTTCGAATGTTTAACGCTGCTAAAGGCAGTTAACTGATCGTGAGTAACATTACAATGTTTTATCGGTATGCACAAATAGTTTTCTAATGGGCATGTGTGGGCGATACTTCATAGCAGGCGCTCGCTGTTTTCTACGGCTTATCTGTGTTGTTCTGGGCTTGAATTGAAGCCTCAGAGAAAAAAAAAGATAAACTGAAGCTTCGAACCAGAAGTGGGCGATTACAAAGAGCCATTATGCATTCATATATGGTGATTAGAATGNGGTTCTGAATAAAATGATCGAGTGATTTTTGTGTGTGTTGTTTACATACTGAACTTCTGATTTGTCCGTAAATCTGCTTTACTTTGAATTGCTATCGTCAGTGGGAAAAGTGAATGAGTTGAACGCATCCAAAAACATACCCACACTTCCATCTTGTGGTGGTTTCACTATATCAGTCATTAAAACACTATCACGACCATACATATACCTGCAAAATTTTTTTTTGTTTCGAAATCACTACTATTCATCAGTCAGAATTTCCTCCTCGAATGACTTCTATGAAACTGAAGAGGCCAAAAATTTTTCCAGTAAACTCTGCAACTGAAAAATACTTATGTTAGTGATACTTTCGAAACCAAGTTTAAGTGATTTTCAGATTCCGTAGCAGTACCTTTCAGTTCAAAGTTTTGCGGTTAAAATTAATTTTTTGCTGAATTCACTTAAGAAGTATCATTTTAGACACGCTAACCTGAAAGCTTTGGCGAGTCCTCTACCTAACTGTCCCAGAGATCCAGTAATCAGCACACGAGGTTTCTTTGTCACCGTATCAGCAAGTTTTTTGTAGCGCATCATTGGGTCCGGCTGAAACATAAACACGACGATGTTTAGTGCGGTACTATCTTTCGGATCTATCTGCCTTGAATGGGTTGAACAAAATATTGCTGGATACGTCATGAATTTATTTCGATGGAACTAATTTTATCGGAATTTCGGTTTTACCGTAAACTCCTGGAGCAGTAGCAATTTGAAAGTATCAAAATGAAGGATATTTTGGAAAAGATGAAGTCTGGAAACATTATTGAATGACACCTAAACACGTACGTGACTGCCGGCAAGATTCCGTTGTTGCTGGATCAAATTTGTTGCTGAGAGAGGTGCTGCCTTAATACGGCAAACTGCAGAGCCAATTTGTACGAGTGATTTCTTCATAGTTCTGCTGAAAACTCGCTTACAATTATCGTTTTAAACGCAGTCACAAATAAATAGCATAACGAATATCGATGTTCAAATCGCTCGTTTGCTTTAAAGGAATCAATCCTATTAAATACTGTTCAAGTACGACTATTAATAAGCATCAACTGAATGAAAATCAACAAAGGTGCCTAGTGATCACATTCTTTGACTGTCGATGTCCGAGACAGTATCCGTCTCATAGAAGTCAAGTAACTCGCATAACGAAGTGTTCGCTGGAGAAGACGTCAAATGGGTCTACTGTTCGAAAATAACTTGAATTCGTTGACAAGATCAGATGAATTGCTACTCATAATTTTCAGATATATCTTATCAAGTTATCAAATTTTACACAATTTCTGTTTTCCAACGATGGAATCAACCATGATGCCCGATAGGAACCCAGCGAAAGATTCTTCGATGCAGCAAGTATTAAGAACTGTTGTTCTGTGATGCGCGATTCATTCAAATACTACCCGACACGCGTATACGGTACTACATCAACTTAACATTCTGGAAGCTTCTCGGTTAGGTTTCCACTGGAAGATATCAAAATGAGGAAGCAACTAAAACCCTCAAGTAGCTCAGGTCAACAAAATATAATCGCGGGATAAAGCTTCAGAGGGACGACGAATGTTGCCTGCGGATAGCATAACAAACGATTGCTTAATCCAACTGCAAAACAGCAATGTGACTTCAGAAGTTCAAGTGAAGAGTGATAAAGTGTTCTTCAGGCACTGAAAAGAATCACTGGCATTGCGAACAATTGAGAATCGGCTTATATACTGCGAATGCTTGGCATCAAGCTCTTTTTGCAACATTATTTACATTACAAATGGGCTGAGAGAACACCGTTTAATTGGCATATTGAAGAAAAAACCCGTGTTCTTGAATTGTCTGATGTCAAAAGCGTATTTTTGGGATGAATATGATTATACTGAACAATTCGATCATATTCAATCAACATTTATGCAGCTTTGAATGAAGCAACAAGTTGAAATCTTTGATCAGCGGTGTTATCCAACTGATCTGGTGAGATCTGGAAGCGAGCGACTGCTTGAACTAAACACAATTGCTTAATCCAAATAACAAACGATGATGGCAATTAATCACAGTAATGTTCTCTTCATCCACTTGCATTTGAATGATGTCATCATCGTGCTAAAACTACTTTACAACTCCACATTTTTATACTTTTGTGTTCCTAACAACCATCGCGTTCATTGTCCTTAAGTTTACGAATGTATGAAAATGATTGATATTGCAAATGCGTTGTTCCTATATTATGATCGCAGAATCACTGGTCCAACATAGTTAACTAAGCGAACAAAAAAATCGAGAGTGTGATTCATTCGAAGATCCGTCAATGCAAACAGATAGATTGCCATTGATCATTCTGGAAGCAGCAATTCCGATAAAAACAGTCGGAATCAGATTAATTAATGGTATTCATAAAACTACGAAAATTTTGAGAGTCACTTGGTAATTGGAGTAAACAACGTGAATACTCTTTAACTGAAATGAATTGCTTACTCACTAACGGAATGGGACCTTTTCAGCAATGTCGACACTCGAGTGGAAAGGAACTGAATAATGCTGAATGCACCTTCAGTTCGTGGCCGGAGTTTCAGTTCATGTATGAGCATAAAACTGAAGCCAAGCGTATGCCTAAACCAGAGGATCAGCTTAAGGTCGGGTGTAATCCTAAGTTACAGCCAAAACTTTTGGATTGTTGATTTCTCACTAGCCTATAGCACGAGGTGACCATGGCGTTGAAGTATTTAAATGAGTTTGCAAGTACCGCAAAATCAGTTATATCAAAACACTAATTGAAGATCATATGCAATGCACTCTGCAGATAAACTTTCGACGGGCATTAACCGCGAATAGAAAACAACCGAAGCACACACACACACACTAGGTGATTGCTGCTTCGAGAGGAGATTCTTTTATATCCGCAGATTTTATTTCGATGCACACAATACATTTAGAATCAGACTAGTTCAGCATTTTTCTAGAACATTTGCAGCACACCATTTCGATCTTTTTTTTATCGAAAAAAAAATCAATTGAGCTTAATATTTTAAAACTTTTCATCCATCTCAACAAGTAACAACTGTACTATATGCAAAAAATTTTCCGACCCAAACACGTCACAATATTCCATTGCTTTAGCAGCAATTTTTTTGAAAAACTTCCGAGAAATCGAAAGAAATGCTGCAATCTGATAGTTTTCGCCAGTTGAATTGCTTTCATCACAACTTTGTTTCATTCGTATCTCAGTATTAATTGTTTGCATCGCAATATTAATTTGTAGTGTGAACCACACCATTCGAAATGATACCATCTGTATTTGCTACATCATAATTTCAGTGCCTAAGCCACTTGTAGGAAAATACTTTCGAGTCCTCCATTATATCAGTTCGCTTTGTTTCATGTTCATCGATGGCTCATACTGCGTGTGCTTTAGTCAGTTGGATGGGCGCTGGACTCTGTTTTTGGTTACA